TTTTTTGTTTAGTTGTACTGAAAAAGACTTCTTGCTCGCTCGTTGACTAATACAACATCCCGATATATACTTCGCGTTAACTCCTGATATTTACGCTGCCTGACGCAGGTGGATCAGCAGTGTCGGGAATTATAAATAGGCGATAGTGTATCTGGACACGTATATAAAATTTGAAGTCAGATTTCAGAGCTCGACAAACTGGTGAGCCCGACGTGATTAAACTCTCTTGGATACTGAAACTGGTCATTAATGACTGTATACAATACGGGTATACATATATACTGAGAATTTTTCTAGCTGCTTTGTGGTAGGCATTGACATACTTGTTAATTGTATTTTTCCTGCTCTCGTTCTTAAATATTTTTTTTGCTGTACCAGTACTGATGTCTTTAAACTCTCATAATCAAGACTTTTCGAATCTAGGGTCCGTGGGTGCCATTAATCTTCCTATGCCTTGTTTTAAGTTTAATGACCCGCAATTGTGGTTTGTCCGTCTAGAACATTTCTTCATGGCGAATCATATAACTTCACAAAACACAAAGTTCGGATACACAAGCTCTGTTTTGCCGGAAGAAGTGGCTGAACAAGTAAGGGAGACACTACTAAAGCCCCACCCAGACACACCTTATGATGTTTTGAAGCAGGAGGTGCTGAAAGCTACTTCGTTATCTGACCAGAAGTCTGTCGATCAACTACTAAGTAGCATGTGCCTCCGTGACAGAACACCTTCACAACTTAAGCGACATATGCAAAGCCTGCTGAATGATAGGAAAGTACACAACCGTTTATTCTACCAGCTCTGGCTGCGGAGACTTACTTCATGCATTCAGCAAATGTTAGCTGTCGGAGATGCGGACATTGACATTGACAGGTCGACTGACATCGCTGACCGTATGTACGAAAGGATGCCTAAAGCGGTTGAAAGTATTGCTGAGCCAACGCGAAACGACCGAGTGGCCGCTTTAGAGAGGAAGATCGACATGCTTGCAGGACAACTGACGGCTTTGCAGTTAAACCGGCCACTGAAGTTCTGTAGAAGCAGATCCCGTAGTCGTAATAGGACCACGAGTAGAATTGCGTCTAAAAGTAGCACGTGCTGGTATCACAAGAAGTCTTTTTCAGTGCAACCTAAACAAAAAATGTTGAATGAGTTGTTACATACATCAACACAATACAGTGAAATGAAGTGCTACAAAGTCACCTGTCGTTGTAACTATATCTGAACGTTTCAATTTAAGTAGTAGGCTTACAGCTTCTCGTGAATTTGTTTTTCGCACCATCGGAACTGCAGTCGGTGCGTGCGTATGAGGAGAACGCTAATGAACGTCGGGTGTCTCACGATCCTCCCCAGTCCTTATATATCAATTCGATCGAAAAGGCAGCTGTTAGCTGAAATGCAGTCGAGAAGCGGGATTTTTGCCCAATACCCTAATGGTATGTCCAAATTGGTGAGTTCATGTTGCTAGCCATTGGATCTCTGGACGCGGGGGGAATTCTGAAGATTCACAGTAATATTCAGGTGAAATCAATCCAACAAACACACCCAGGTCCTACAGGCCCGTCTGAAAGGCACAGCACACACATGGATATAAATTCCATAGTTTTTGCCGGGCGATAACTGCTGACCGATTTGGTATAGATTTAGGACTTGTAAGTTCCTACATGAAATCATGGTGGGTTGTTAAGGGACTGGACCTGAGGTTTGGACAGCTGTGGTCGTTGGAAATGGTCGCAGAATGAAAAGCCCGGGAAGGTGTGAGGGGCTTAATATTGTACCGGCGGATGAAGGCAAATAAAAAGACAAAGCTAAGGGGAATAATTAATGTTTAGTTGGGTCTTGTGTACTACCGGAAGCGTGCAGAAAGCTGACACTTTCCAACTGGACACACACCGGAAGGCTAGTTCTTCTCGAGTTTCCAGGAGAAAAAGAGGTAGCGTGTGACCACAGAGCCCGAGGGAAATCTGCCTAAAGCCTGACAAACGTAGCCTCTTGTAAGTTTTGTTTTGAAGTTTGGCTGTTCTAATGCCGGATAGAGAGAACCACATACACAGCCCCTGGAAGCCTACAGGGCATAGAGGTCTGTGCTATTTTCGAAGCCGACTTTTTTTAACCCCCACGCTTTCCCAGTGGGAAGGCAGCCTCGGGACGGCACTGCTGGTCATTCAATGGGAAACACCTTACAGCTGTCAAACTCCACACAGCTAGCAGCAGTACGACTCCGCCCTAAGACCTTTATAGTAGTGTTACAACTTGCACTACAACAGTAATTGCCGTCCGACACCAGACTTTTCCGGTATGGTAGAACATCGAGGGAACAAGCGTTTCAGCCAGTGTAACTACTCGAGTCATTGTGATGTGACCACTACGTCAAGGTAAAAGCTATCGGTCGGGAAATTACTCTCTAATCTTAAATTTCATTTGCATATTACACCTGCATTCTACTAAACAGGAGAGCTGAGTTAGCACGAATTTTCGTTAATATTCGCTAAATATAAAGTCCTTATGAATCAAAGGTTGCTACAACTAAACGGTCTATTATAGTTAGCCTCCGTTCTACACCGCACTGAGTGGAAAGCAACAGCAATGAATATGAAAAATGTAAAGATCCTTTTCATGAATGATTCAAACACACAGTTTCTGTGCAACTTTGATGTGAACAAGCACTTCCACTGCAATTGTGCATTCATTTCCCTTCACCTGACGTACCTAAACGATCGACCTCTTTTTTCGTTAAGTAAGCCGCATACTTGTTTTTTTTACATACCAGGTGGTACTTGAATCTTAAGTAGAATAACAGGTATCACCTTCGGGACTAACGTCAAATAATTTCCTTTATATTCGTCAGCAATCTATAGCAGTTCTGTAAATTGCATGACAAGGATTTCACACTTCTTTCCTAACTGTTGTCCTATTGTGTACAACAATTAATAATACTTAGTGATAGAAAACTGGTCATTACAGTTAAAAACATGAATATCTCCACTGTTCTTTGATTTTAATCATAAGTATATTTCTTGGCAAGATCCTTACTTAACAAACTTTACTTCTTGCAATTTCAAGCGTGGATTTGTGAGCGCCACTTCTCATAAATAACCTTATTTAATGTTCATGCTACATTCGTCTCACAAGAAGTGGTCATCATGACTCAGTGATTTGGTGGATAAAACTCTAGTTTTTTGAAACGATTGGTCTTCGGTTCCAGTTTTAGTGGGAATAACATCACTTTCTGGCTTGGGGATACGTTCAGCTGAGTCCCAAATAGAAAGAAAGCGCGTCCTGGATTCCACTGCCAGCCACCGTCCGTCATTAATATTAGTTAATGTCCCTTTAAATACTTGAGATAATTAGTCTATTTTATAAATTGAGATATTACAATCAGAGTATATTACATCCGATTATGTGGTCATACATACATGCGAAGGATTAGTTGAGCCGTATAGTTGAAGGTCAGGGGATAAGTACCTAAATGACTTCAAAATAGATGGAGTGGGGAATTTTGATAAGCACAGCTGGGAGATGACTCTTTTCGTCGATAGATAGGCATACGATACAAACAAGTAACAACTTACTCTTCAAAAAAGCCTTCAAAGGTCAATGTAGAAACAATCAGGGACGCGTACTGACATCTGCGGAAGCGGTAGCCATACACAAATTGAAACCACTTTTATATGTGCAAAAATCATCACACTTACCTTGGTAAACTGTGCTCTTTTTCTAAAAATCAGAAATACAACACACACATGTTCAGATAAACTTAATCGTCTAATTACACATTTGGAAGTGTTACTGTTACTTTGCACATGAATACACGGTTTGATAACCCCCTTGATCTAAAAAGAACTCTGTAGAAGTGGTGGTGGGGTTGGAATATGCATTTAGAAGAGAGAAAAAGCGTATTTTCCTAAAGAACATGATAACCTCTAAGGATAACTCCCTCCCCCCCCCCCATCAAAAAGGTGTTCACTAAGCTTTGAACAGAACAAAAAGTATAACTTATTACGATAACTAATCATATAGATTAAAGTATTTCATATAAACAAACGAAAAGAAAAAAAAGTAACTTATTCATCTCTATAGATTAAACTGAGAAATGTAAGTACAGAGGAACAAAAGAAACCAAACAAACTAGTACATATAACAAAAACGAAGAGAATAATGAAAATTTACCTTTCCTTCGATTCCTTATTGCTTCATTTTCATGTCTATTGTATAAATTTTGAGAAAGATTATTGTAGATAAAAAGAAATAGATAAAGGAAACAACACTAAATTAAATCATAAAATCATTCAACTGATTGTAGTATAGAATAATAAAGAAGTAAATAATGAAAGTGTATATAGTATATATAGTGAATTTATTCAATATCGAATAATAAATCATCTCCTGACACTTTCATACCACTTGAAACATGAACTTTTTTGACACAACCTGATATAGGTGCAGTAATACTCATCTCCATTTTCATAGCTGATAGAGTAGCTAATAATTGACCTTTTTCAACTAGTTCACCTTCTTTTACATTGACTATTACAAGTTCACCAGGCATTGGTGATCCAACAGAACCTTTGACACCAATTAAAGCTTTTGGATGAAATGAAATAGACTTTCAAAGAAAAAAGAAGAAAAATAAGAGAGATAAAATGTGTGATTCAATATATTTTTACTATTAGATTTGATTTCTATTGAAAATTTATACGAAAGAATTGAAATCGAGGTGAAATATGCTCAGTAATGTTGTGCACATTTGCGCAGTAAACAATGAACCACACACACACACACACACACACACACACACACACACACACACACACATCTATTCTGTGTGTATGGACTAATGAATAATACCTGGATGCCAAGACCTAAATAGGTGGAGTAGTGTTAGAATGACTAACCTACTGCTTGAAAGTCATCTGCCTAAGTCAATCGCTCCTGATTCGACTAAGAAAGAATTAACTACTCCTAAAAAAGAAGTTAAGTAAGTAATTATTTAGCTTAGAGCCTAAAGTGTAAGGGAGATGATAAGCGTGTCTTTGGTGAGTCTTCCTTTCCCTTCAGATTCTCGTGGTCACCACCAAACTCACACTGCTCTACGCGCTTCGCTGCAACAACGTAACTACCTACAGTCTAGACGAAAACGTATCAACAGCTGGTCGTCACATTTTGGTGTCGGAGGCGTAATCCAGCTCGCTCACGATCAGACTGACGTGAAGTAAACAGCAGCCATCCGCTCTAATGTAACTCGCGCTAGTTTCATGCACCATAGCTAGCCTCTAACTCGCTCAGTTACAACCAGGCGATGAAAACAGTGCCTCTAAAGAAGGAGGAGTAGTGTAACGCATTCGAAATCTTACCGATTCACATTCCAGTTTCTATTTCTAGACTGTCTCACCTCTTCCCTGCCAGGCTCTACTGTTTGTCAGTTTTCGTCTATTATTACATGTAAGTACATGTAACTAAGTCGTCCCTCACCGTTTTCCTCTTCCTCTTTTCCGTTCCAGATTCTTTTGGCCACCACTAACCTCACACTTCTCTACGAGTCCCTCTGCAACAACGTACCTACATATAAGCTAGACGAAAACGTATGAACAGCTGGTCGTTACAAGCATTCCTTTGACAAAAGGTTTACAAAGCTGGCAAGAGACAGAGAGGAAGAACAAAAAAAACTGCAGTAATCAATAACAATGATAATAAAGTAAATAAAACAGAAGAACGACAAAGTGAGAAGTCACTAATTATTAACAGATAATAATAATAGATAAATATTTCCTTTTAAATATACAATTGAGGTTGAACACATTGGATACTGACGGCTTTGATTTTTCGTTTGTTTACTTTTATGAAGGATTTTATCGTACCTGCTAGATGTCCCCTATCACATAAGTGATGAACAATTGCACTACTAAATAAGGATGGACCTCTGAGACATAGATTCTTTGGGATGTGCTCGGCAATCCTGGTAGACAACCTCCTCTATGTTCTTTCTATCTACTTACAACCGCATGTGAATTTTAACAAGAGTTAGAACTTTGTCTAATTTGAATTATTCAGTTCTACATATTGTTTGACACAGTAAGACAAGTCTCAAAGTCGGATAGGTCCTGGATAGTGAACTACTAATTTGTCTGTTGATTCTTATCGCAACGTGATCTCCTTTGAAAATCAATGCAAGAAACGGTGGTTTCTTTTCGACTTTACTATATCCCACTCTTTTCTTCTTGCTTTCCCAGTACTTCTGCATGAACTATATTGGATAACCATGATTTTGTGCACATAGTTCAAATAGTAATGATGGGCAGTGGCTAGCAGTGGAAACCAGGATGCGCATTTGGTCCTATTTGGGGCTCGTCAGCTGGATGTACCTGCCTCCCAGTGAGTGATGTTGTTCCCACCGGGACTCGGGAGAGACAGCTTCAAATGCCAGAGCGTCATCCACTACACCACCGAGCCACGACAGCCACTTCTTGTGCGACGGGAGGCAGGTACATCCAGCTGACGAGTCCCAAATAGGACCAAATGCGCATCCTGGATTCCGCTGTTAGCCACTACCCATCATTACTAAACATAATTAAAACACAGGCAATATCGAGGCATCCGCACGGGAGCCCATATACCACCAGAGACTGGTCATTTCGGTCCAATCAACGAAGTTTAATACAAGCAATAACACTAATAGTTGAAATACTTCTTGCAATTTCTCTTGGGAACATAATCTCTCTGCCTTCTGGTATAACATCGTCACTATACTTCTTTTGTAGCTGATTGGACAGAAGCTGTTAAAGTTTAAATACTGACCGTTGCATGCGGTTTTAGGGTGAATACTCCTCTCTATTGTAATTTCTTTATTACGTCTCAAACATAAGTCGAGAAAATTCAGCTACTGCCTTTCTTCACATTCTATCATAAAATTAATACTGTGATGATGAGTTAGGAGTATGCTATCCAAGACCTATCCGGTTGTGCAACTAGTCTCATTACTCCAAACAACATGTACAACTAAATAATCCAAATTGGACAAAGTTCCAACTCTTGTTAGTTCCAACCATGTTTATCAATTCACATATGCATGCGGTAGCAAGTACGGAGAAAGAACAGAGAGGTGGTTGTCTACCAGGCTTGTGGACCACATACCAAAGAGTCTACGTCTCAGAGATCCGTCCTCATTCAGTAGTGCAATAGTTCGTCACTTATGTGAAAGGGGATATCTAGTAGATGCGATGAAACCCTTCATTGCAATCAACAGACAAAATACCGGGTGCCGACTTAGAATTGATGAAGCCGTCAGTATCCAATGAGTTCAACCTGAACTGTGTGTTCATGAGGAAAACATTAGAAAAAGATTGATGCAACTGCTCTAATAAGGATGTGTCGTGATAACAGCATGAAATGTTATCAAGGATGTTTAAACTTACAGCCACCCAGACAGAATCAACGTGGAATCTCACACACAGGTGCATCGCTTTAAGTTGACAAACTTCACAGTAGCAAATGAGGAACAAGTTGATAGAAAAGACTGATATCAAAGTAGACGGTGTAACGGAAGAGAGGGAATTTGTAAATTAAAGCTAGTCACAACATTCAAGTTTTAGGAAACATTATGATCAATTTTTGGCCGTATCACTTAGAATCTTCAACTACTGATTCCTATCGTCTTGAAGACCTAAACCACGTAGTCTGTATCTTCCCACATGGCTCATCAACTGCTGCCATATCTTGGTTTCGGCACCCTGAACGTTTTTCTAACCTAATCCAACTTCTCCTCCCTAGCAAGCCATGTCAAGGTATGTTGGTTCGGGATGCACAGTACATGTAAAATCACCTCAGTCGATAAAGATTCACAACCCTATCCCCCACTATAATATACAGTAGATATAAACACGAAATGATATCACTGTTGGATTGATAGAAACTGGAAAATTAGGTGAAATGATCAACCTCCAAATTGGGCATTATCTACCAGATAGTTGAATTCAACATACAATACAGTCGTAAAGATGAAGTTAAACAAAGTAATGAAGGATAGTTTACTTAATACAACAGCTGTACAAGTTCTAGGATGTTCACAGGTCATGTAACTTATCTGACACTGTGAGCACCTATTGCATCTACACGACAAGTTTTTGTAAGCATGAGGTATATCACTGAAAGGATGATAGTACTGACTTAAAGAAAACATGTGTCCAAGCATAAAATGTGCGATTATCAACGCGAATATCTAAATATAGTGTATCAACAGTTTGGAAGTACCGTCATTACGTAAGTAAGGTTCCCAATAGAAAAACAAAATACTGATAAACTGAGCAAAAAACTTAAATTGGATATCTAAAACAGATACAAAACTTGTTGAACTGAAAGATATACCAACCACACCAAAGAGATGGTTTTTGGGTACACTTTTTCAATATGCTCAGGAAAAACGGACCAACCAAGAATTTATCACCCAGCAAATATGCAGAAGAAAGTCGAGATGGATTGGGTATGCACTGAGAAGACGGTTTGGGGACATCACGCGACAGGCTAGGCCATCGAGTGGAACCCAGATGGGAGACGGTGAGTTGGGCATCCGAGCCGATGGTGACATGGAGGAGATAGTGTGAGGAAGGAATGAGAGCTTCTGAGCAGTCGTGGAGGCCAGGTTCAAAAGATTGCAGAGAACAGGGTGCTATGGAGGTGTGCTACTGAAGCCCTATATGTTCCACTAGGAACCCAAGGGACAAATTATAATATATAACATAATAAAATGGTCACCATTTTGATAACCATTGAAATCGACTTCAGACTGTATTATATACAGTCCGTTCTGTCCCGTTTTACGACTATGAGACATGGCCGTTTTGAGCAGAAGACATGAAGTAGTTGCGGAGTTTTAAGTACAGATATCTTCGTAGCATTGCCCACGTTTGGTGGAATTGCCGTGTGAGCTATGTTGAGGTCAGATGAAAAGAATAGTAGGCAAAACAGGCAAGTCAATTGGTGATAAGATTGTGAACCTTAGTCGACTGAAATGGCTTGAAAATGTACTGTGCATGACGAGCCACCATGTAACTCGGCATGCCATGTTGGGGGAAGTTGGATAAGGTTGAGAGAGGGCTTAGGGTGGTGAGAAGAAGACCTAGCATCAGTCAGTGAAGTCCCAGACTGCTGATATGGACCGTGTGTGGAGGTACAGACTACCTGGTTAGAGTCCTCGAGACAATAAGAATCAGTGGTTAAGGATTCTTGGTTGTGCACCTGGAAATCGGTCGCTATGGAGCAGATGTATTCACCTCTAAGTCTTTCATAGCTTGAATATTTGCACTAATCTTCATTGTTTATTCTCTCTCACAACTTAATCTACTTTGATATCGCTTTTCTATCCACCTGTTCTTTGTGTACTACATTGAAGTATGGTGAGTTAAACCAAGGCATCTGTGTACAAGGTTCTATGTTGACTTTCTCAGTCAGTCATATACAGTATGTGGACACATTAAATCGTACCGTTTCTTTTACACAAAGGTACATAGCTAATATTTCCTGCTATGATCCACATGAACACACACACACACACAGCCCTTATAGACTGATATCATATTTTGATCCAGCAATTCTTAACTTTCTTCCAACCTAGTCAAACAATATTTGTCGAGATATGCAGAAGGGCAATTCCCAGCCATATACATCAAAGAAGCTTTTCCATCAAATTGACTAGTTTATCTTGCTTACCTAGCATTGTCTGAATAACTTCGACATTGGTCCCAGCACAAACATACACACAGACGATATTTCTGTTATTCAGAAATGTATAAACAAAGACTTGAGACTTCCTCATGTCCCTCAACTTGGGCGATCATATCTCAAACGGTACCGCTGAGTGACACCACTTATTACTTAGTATGAAATCAGTCACGTAGCTTGTCAGAACTAGAGCTGGAAGATAATAATCATGAAAAATGTTTGTGAAAGGAATGATAGTGAAAAGTATATACTTTAAGAACTTTTAAGAAAAGAAACTAGAAACTCTAAAGTCTAGAAAAGTAAAATAGATTGAGTTACAATAAACTGTTACTTGTGATTACTGTGGTGAAGGGAAGTTATATAAAGAAGCGTTAACATGACAGTATAAAAATGAGAAATTAAAATCTTTGTGAATTATTAACTCACCTTTGTAGCCTCTTTATCAGTGATAATAATTGATCTCAACTGACCATTCATTTCAAAAAATACTTCACGTTCTCCAGATTTAGTCAGTTCACCAACAGCTAATGTTTTAATATGTAACATTTTACCTGTTTCTAAGTCAACCTGAAGAAAAATTATTATGATTATTTGTTATACATTTAAAGAAGACGTAAAGTTGATAAAAAACAAACAAACAAACAATTGAAAGCTGACTTATACAATCTTTGAAATGCTGGAGAATATTTGTAGCTCAGGTGGATGGTCTTGGTTGTGTTGAGTTCTCTGAGCTGGGTTGTTTAGTCATGGAGCTTTCATCATCTTCCGAGGCGACATCTTCAGTATGAAGTTCATACTGGAGATGTCGTCTAGAAGGACAATGGAAGCTCTACAACTAAACAACTCAACTCAGAGAACACAACACAACCAAGATTATCCAATCTTTGATGTAAACTGGACCATTTATTTTCTGTTTTCAAATTCAAAACTCATAGTTGAACAATGATAATGTCCATCCTTAACCTCGCCTGGTTAACTAGTTCACTAGTTACTAGCCGGTCCTAAGCCCGGGTAAAGAGGGAAGGTTGGGCATAGGGCTAGCAACCCTACCCCGTAAAATCAATCCAACCGCTAAAGAGACTTCAAAGCACAAACGAAATATAAAAAATAATAACAAAATTATTCCTCACTAGAATCGGAGAGGCAAAATGACGCCAGTTGGTGAAAGCCTTCGGGATGCCAATTGGCCGATGTGTCTTCTCTCCCTCGATGAAAGCGAAAGTAAACGTGGGGACATGGAATGTCCGCATCATGTTTGAACCCAGCAAGGCAGCCCAGATTGCAAACGAGGTGAAGAGGTATCACACTGAAGTGCTTTGAATATGCGAAAGCAGATGGAATGGGAGTGGACTCTCCAAGCTGTCAACTGGAGAATTAATAATCTGTTCCGAAGTCGTCACCCAGCCGACAACTACGAGCACACTGAGTTTTGGAGTGGCTTTCATGATGTCCCCCTCCCAAAAGCATCGAAGGCTCTCATACAGTGGACACCAGTCTCCTCCAGGATCATGACAGCAAGATTCAACTCAAAAGGAAGGAAGATCACAATCATACAATGCTACGCACCTACAAATAATGCAGAGCAAGAGAAAAAGGAGGAATTCTACAGACAACTGCAATCAACACTGGACAAGACGCCAGTTGGCGATATCAAGATTCTAATGGGCGACATGAATGGGAGCAGACAACACAGGAAGAGAACTAACCATGGGTTGAGAAGCGCTAGGTGAGGTGAAATGAACGAGAATGGAGAATTGTTTGCAGAATTCTGTGCATTCAACGATTTGGTGATTGGAGTGAGGCACTGTGTTCAAGCACAAGGATATCCACAAGGCTAGCAACATGGATTTCACCAGACACTAGGACACACCAAAAATCAAATCGACTTTATCTCAATCTTAAGGAAATGGAGACACAGCCTACTTGACACAAGGTCAAGAAGAGGAGCATATGTAGGCTCAGATCACTGTCTAGTGCCAGAAACCTTCCAAATCAGGTTAAAAGCCTTCAAGGAAGTTGGTGACAGACCGCAGTTCAAGTAAACACTCGGAAACTGAAGGATGAAACTACAAAGGAGATCTTCAAGGCAGCCATCAAGACAAAATGAGAGATATCGAGCAACATCCCTGAAGAAACCTGCGTGGAAGAACACTGGAAGTCTTTGAAAGCTATGTGGAAAGAAACCTGCATAACCATATTAGGAAGGAAGAAGAAAGAAGACAAGGAATGGATCTCAATGGATACCTGGAAGCTGATAGAGGAGAGGAGGATGGTGAAGCAGAAGATAAACCAGTGCAAAGATGCTCAACGACAAGAGGAACTGAGCACAATGTATAAAACACTGAACAAAGAAGTGAAGAAGAGTGCACGGAAAGACAAAAGACACTTCTACGAAACACTGGCAAGTGAAGCAGAACAGGCTGCAGGTAAGAGAGACCTGACGACATTGTATCAAATAACCAGGTTGCTATCTGGGAAGAGATCAACACAGATGAAACCAATAAAAGATGAAGAAGAAAATTTAATTACGAAAGAAGAGAAACAAAGGTAACAATGGGCCGACCACTTCAAGAAGCTCTTGAATCCACCACCACCACCACCTGCACTTCGTCCGGAAATACCACCTGAAGCCACGGAATTACAAGTGAACATAAATCCTCTAACAAAAGTGGAAGTCCTGAACGCCATAAAACTACTGAAATGTGGGAAAGCAGCAGGACCAGATGGGATCCCACCAGAAGCACTGAGAACAGACGCAGACAACAGACAACAGAGGATATGCTCACACCACACCACTATTGCAGAAGGTGTGGAAGGAAGAGAAGGTACCTGTCTATTGATTGGAAGAACGGCTACCTTGTCAAACTGCCGAAGAAGGGAGACCTCAGTGTTTGCAAGAACTGGCGCGGAATCACTCTCCTGTCCACCCAAAGAAAGCAAAATATCAAGCCGTACCATCCTGGAAAGACTAAAGGATGCACTGGATTCAAAACTATGACCAGAACAGGCAGGCCTCAGGAAGTACAAATCATGTGCAGACCAAATTGCAACGCTACACTACGCAACATCATAGAACAGAGTATAGAATGGCAGTCAACTCAACTCGACCTCAACTTCATCGACTTTGAAAAGGCCTTTGACAGCGTCAACCGAGAGGTAATTTGGAAACTGCTTCAATACTACGGAATACCACAAACCTCTATCAACCTCACTCAACAAGTATATGAAGACGCCACATGCCAGTCAAGTAATTCACAATGGAAAGCTCAGCTCAGTGATGCCTTCGAATCGAAGTGAAGACATGAGTAAAATAAGGCTGTCTACTATCATCCATGATCTTCCTGATTGTGGTCAACTGGACTGGATCATGCAGCAAACAGTGGGGAGCGAGAAGAGGGGGATACGCTGGCTGGACTGCGGAAAAGAACCTAGAAGACTTGGATATCGCCGATGACTTGTGTTTGATGTCACACAAACTTGAAGATCTACAGGTGAAAACTAACAAGTTGACAGGAGAGGCAGGGCAGCGAAGACGGGACTTCATGTGAATATAGAGAAGACAGTGGTGATAAAGATACCGCACCAACAACTCCAACAACAACAACAACAAACTCCAATCACTATCAACGGGAGAAACCTAAAGAAAGTAGTCTCTTTCACCTATCTAGGCAGCACTGTCTCAACTACAGGTGGCTGCACAGACGAGGCTGTCAAAGTCAGAATCGGAAAAGCAAGACAGGTGTTCATTAGCCTGAAACCAATGTGAAGATCTTCTGCACTGAGTATGAAGAACAACATCCGGATTTTCCACACCAACGTCAAGTCAGTGCTTCTGTATGGTTCAGAAACTTGGCGCGTCACGAAAGGCATTTCGAACAAAGTACATACAGTCATCAACAACTGCCTATGCTCGATACTGAAGCTCAGATGTCCAGAAAGAATAAGCAACAAGGAACTCTGGCTAGCTGGCAACGAACCAACCAAGAATCTATCACCCAACAAATATGCAGAAGGAAGTGGAGATGGATTGAGCATGCACTGAGAAGGACGACTGGGGACATCACGCATCAGACCAGGCCGTCGAGTGGAACCCAGATGGGAAGTGACGAGTTAGGCGTCCAAGGCGAGGGTGACATGGAGGAGATAGTGCGAGGAGGAAATGAGAGCTTCTGGGGTGTCGTGGAACCAGGTTCAAAAGATTTCAGAGAACAGAGTTCACTGGAGACGTGCTAGTGAAGCCCTATTTTCCATTAGGAACCCAAGGGACCAATGATAATATAATAATAGTAATGTCAATCTTTGTTGATTTCAAATCAACTTCAAATGTCAGGCTTTGAGTATCAACGATCTGCTCTACTCTACTAATTGGTAACAATACTTGATCACCTTCTCTCTCTATCTCGACTACTCACAACTAATTATAACGATACTGTTTTCAGTTTCTGTTATTTGCTCTTGTTCAGTGTATATATCATTGCTTGTATAATCCCGGTGTAGTATTTTAGAAAAAATAACAGAATAAACAGAACAAATCATATGCGGATCAAATTGCAACTCTACGCTACGCATAATCATAGAACAGAGCACAGAATGCAAGTCAACTCTACTCATTATCGACTTCATAGACTTTGAAAAGGACTTCGACAGCGTTGACCGAGAAGTAATTTAGCAACTGCTTCAAGACTACGGAATACCACAAACCTCTATCAACCTCATTCAACAACTATATGAAGACGCCACATACCAAGTGATCTACAATGGAAAGCTGCTCAGTGACGCCTCCGAAGTGAAGACAGGAGTAAGACAAAGCTGCCTACTATAATCACCAATGATCTACCTGATTGTAGCCAACTGGATCATGCAACAAACAGTGAGGAACGGGAAGAGGGGGATACGCTGGCTGGACAGATGAAAAGACCCTATAAGAAGATTTGGATTTCGCCGATGATGATTTATGTCTCATGTCTTGTCGCACAAACTCGAAGACTTACAGGTGAAAACTAACAAGTTGACAGAAGACACAGCGAAAACGGGACTTCAAGTGAATGCAGAGAAGACGGAGATGATGAAGACACCCAAAAACAGCATCAACAAAGAGCATCAATCACCATCAACGAGAGAAACCTACAGGATGTAGTCTCAATCACCTACCTAGACAGCACTGTTTCAACTACAGGTGGTGGCGGCAAAGACGAGGACGTCAAAACCAGGGTCGAAAAAGCAAGACAAGCTTTCATTGATTTGAAATCACTGAGGAGATCTACTGCACTCAGCATAAAGAACAACATCCGGATTTTCAACACCAATCAAGTCAAGTCACTGCTGCTATATGGTTCAGAAACTTGGCGAGTCACATAAAGCACTTTCAAAAAACTACAGACATTTATCAACAGCTGCTTACGCTCACTTGATACTGACACTGAAGATCAGATGGCCAGAATAATAAGAATAAGCAACAAGGAACTCTGGCTAGCTGGCAACGAATCAACCAAGAACCTATCACCTAACAAATATGCAGAAGAAAGTCGAGATGGATTGGGTATGCACTGAGAAGACGGTTTGGGGACATCATGCGACAGGCTAGGCCATCGAGTGGAACCCAGATGGGAGACGGTGAGTTGGGCATCCGAGCCGATGGTGACATGGAGGAGATAGTGTGAGGAAGGAATGAGAGCTTCTGAGCAGTCGTGGAGGCCAGGTTCAAAAGATTGCAGAGAACAGGGTGCTATGGAGGTGTGCTACTGAAGCCCTATATGTTCCACTAGGAACCCAAATTAATAAGAACACAATAAACAAATATTTTGTTTTACTTTTCAATATTTCGATCTTACTATGAAGATTCTTTTCAAGAGTATGAATCAGTTATTCAGATTTCAGGTTAGTATTTAAATTTGCTACAGAAGGTAAGCTTTATGATTAACCAATTACATCGTGATAGAGAACAAAGATCAACAAATATGTTGTTGTTTGTAGTATTATTAAGACAGAATTGAAAAGACAGATAATATCAATGCATCAACGCAGGAGCCCATATGCCAATAGAGACTTATTCAATTCGGTCCACTTGACAACGGGATAATACAAGCAACAATATAAAAAAAATATACACAGTGCACAAGAAGTGGCTATTGAGACTTGATGGCCTACTGGATAACGCTTCGGTGTTTGAAGTGGTCAGCCGCAGATTCCAGTCTTATTGGGGACAACATCACCCACTGGGAGGCAAGTAAATCCAACTGACGAGTCCCAAATAGGACGAAACGCGCATTCTCAATTCTACTGCTAGCCACTATTTATCATTACTATAAAGAACAGTATCATTTACGCGAGTGATATTAACAAACGAGTCAAGGAAGCATATTCAGAAAACATGAATATCTTTAGAATAAATCATGTAGAGCAGTTTGAAATGAAATTCTGTCCAACCTTCTCCTTGTATATTATTTGGAACTTTCTATACAAGTCATTAATGTTTGTTATACTTGTGGAATATTCAATGCATCTTTTCTGTTAATTACAGTATGATACGAATAGATATGCAAAAGTTTCTACAATGACCTGGTCTTTTTGAGAGAGAAAAAAACCCTTTTGCAAGACTCCGTTTTTCTAATGATATTTTATGACCCAGATGATAAGGTATAAGTCACGATAGAACAGCACTTTTTAAGTTTTTCCAGTTCACAGGAATTCTTTGATTACTCCTTGTAATTTCAATTGTATTCCACTGGACATGTCAGTAATTGATGTCATATCCCTGTCAAATATATTTGGCATCGTATTCACTACAGTCTACCACATAAACACAGTTCATTTACTTTAAACTCTGTGCTTGGCTTCAGCATTACATTATCATCACCATCTTATAGAGTAGAACATAACCAACCGAAATCATCCTAAATCATCGAATCGAATAATGTGCTTAGGATGTAAATATTTGCAAGTTAAACCAACCAGGCATACTAGATATAGTCTATCCATTGTTAACTAAAGCGATATCATAAAATAATGTTGGTATTCATCATGGACTGACATCACTTGGAGGAACATTGGAAACCTGGGAGCACTGACCAGCTGTTTCATCCTCATAAGGGACTTCTCAGCAGTGTACACCCACTACCCCACCGAGGATTGAACCGAGGACCTTCAGGTTCCGTGGCCAGCACGTTATCATTGAGTCACTGGGTCAGAATCCAATAGGCCATATTTCCTGCTTTTGTGAGTTCACGATATAGCGTGACCTACATCCAATGTCATCTTTGAGTAACTATCCTCATGTTCGACTTGGTTGACTCCACTGATGACTAGCTTCGAGACATGATTCCTGAAGTTCTAATGAGAAGTGCTGACCAGTGGAGTCAACCAAGTCGAACATGAGGATAGTTACTCAAAGATGACATTGGATGTAAGTCGCGCTATATCGTGAACTCACAAAAGCAGGAAATATGGCCTATTGGATTCTGACCCAGTGACTCAATGATAACGTGCTGGCCACGGAACCTGAAGGTCCTCGGTTCAATCCTCGGTGGGGTAGTGGGTGTACACTGCTGAGAAGTCCCTTATGAGGATGAAACAGCTGGTCAGTGCTCCCAGGTTTCCAATGTTCCTCCAATTGATGTCAATCCATAGTTAATTCCTACCTAAAATCAATTAAAAATTTCTATAGACTTCCAGATAGAATGAAAGCTTTTTTTCATTTATTCTTCTCTAAAAAAATATTTACTAGCCATCAAGTGTTGATCTATTAGAGTGCATAATTCAAAAGTCTAAGTATGGCTATGGGTTCACCACCAGGACCTATACTAGCTGACATATTCATGGCTCATCTCCAGCGAACAAGTCTGAACGCTGAGATCAAGGAAACGATACATTACTGCAGGTATGTAGGTGATACTTTCATTGTTTATGATAATATGAATCATTCATCAAAGTTGTTCGACACTTTCAGTCAATCTCATCCAAATATTAATTTTACGATAGAATTTGAAAATGAGGATAGATTCAATTTTTTGGATCTAAGTATAAAACGGAGATGTGATAGTGCAGTTGATAAAACTATCCATAGAAAACACACGTGGATTGGTCAATACCTTCACTAGAATAGCTTCTGTCCTGTCAGCTATAAGCCTAGTTTAGTCAAGACCTTCTCCACTAGAATAAAAAAACGCTGTCCTCAAAAGATAAACAAGAAGAAGAATTCGGTATAATTGAGAAGGCTCTTATAGAGAATGGATACCCGAAGAAATTCATCATGAAGTATGGGAAAGAACTTATTGAGAGACTAGAACATCCAACTGTTGAGAAGAAGCCTGTTTTCCTTCGCCTAGCATTCAAGGGTGATGAGACATCTGAAAGAACAGATGGAAGAATAAAAGCTGCATTGAGAAAGAGCTTCTCTACTGCCAGATTGATCTCAGTATGCTCAATAACACAGTTGAAAGTAGACAAATACCCATTTCATGTCACCTCCAACTGCGTATATCAATTCATCTGTGCTTGTGGAAGTAAGTACTTAGAACGGACTGAAAGAAGGTCGTCTACTCAATTTTATGAGCATATTCTAAGAAATCGGTGTCTGAATGGTAGAAAGATCTTTAAAAGCTCAATCCACAGGCATCTGATGGAAACAGGACATCAAAAAGATGTTTCTCAATCTTTCAGGATAATCAACAAAAAAAAAGAACACCATATTTATTACGGTTTACTAAAGCTCAAACATTTTCAACCTGACCTATGTACTCAGAAGGAGACAGTAATTAACCTTTCTTTACCTTGGTAAATGCATATGATTTTTTGCATATGTATGTATATAATGTTCCCTTTTCTTTTAATTGCATCATCTCTTCATTAATTACTCGGTGAATATTAATCACTTAACGATTTTCAAGTTTTTCATGGTATTACATAACATGCTAACTCTTAAACAGTCTCTTTTTTAACACTGATTTTCCTTTGCTTGCCCCCCCCCATACTTCCAGAATTTTCTATCTTATCAGATATAATTTACCATTGATCCTGTATTTCCTTGACTCACTCACTACCTACCTTATTGTTAATCCTGGATTTCAAATCTCCATTTATTTCAACATATTTGAAGTATGTTATGTTATTATTACTACTAATACTAATTCAAGTGTAGGCTGTTAACAGCTGATGAAAGGTCATGAAATAGAATGAGCTCATTTTATTCTGCATATGTTTTTGTTCTTGTATTGTTCAAAAATAAATAAGTTGTAAAAGTGTTCAGTTTATAGTTACCACTATTAAGATGTATTGATTGTTAAAACGTATTGTTATGCATAATTGTATATTTCAGACAGTAGAAAATACTTACCGGGAATTCTTCAGCAATTTTAGGTCCTACAAAGAAGATACGTGTAGGTAATCGATCTACAGGACCGTATATATTACGAAATTCTTCAAATTCATTAAATACCTACAACAGGATTATAACAAGAAACAGTTAAAGTGGTCAAAGTATACTCAGTTATCTACTAGTCGGTAGAATGTAATCAATTAATGTATGCTTAAAAGGTTATCATTCATTAGGTTAAAGATTGAGGGTTATCATATTCGATTGCTTATCTGATATGATCAGGACATAGTGTAATCAAGTATTATTTACTGGATAACATTTCAATCGAAATTTATTTCTCATATTCATATCAATGTAATCATACATCTTCCAGATATCAGTTATATAGTCCAACAATTCTTCAGCCTTTCATTTTAATGGTAATAAAACTTTAGTAATATATATAATGAATCATCTTTGTTTAATATATGTCAAGTGTTGATTCAATGAACAAAGATTCACTGATAATCTCTCCCTCTATCTAGCCAAATTTCATTTCAGAACTGTCATCATATCCAACGCCTCTATGGTTCAGTTCATACAGAGCCATAACCAACTTTTTCTTTAAATTATTTATCTTTGTAGGGTTTTCCACTGTATGTTTCGTCAAGTTTTTGTATTCTACTATTCTGACTGACAGTGGTTGGCTGCTTTGATCTCTGTAGTTGACTTCATAGCCATTACTTGGTATTTAATAGATTAAGTTGTTTTGCTGAGCTGACCCTACTGGATACAAAGTTTCGCTTTAAGTGAGTTTGTTACTGTAAATACCATCCTTCTCGCAGCATTATTAAGAATTCTACGTGAAATTTTCGATGTGTCTACACTATACAACAACACTACACAGGATTAGGTATGTTGCCATAACCACAAACATTATCACTTCTTCTCTCATCAATCCTTATACACTTTTAGATAAATTCTGGAGGGTAGTTATTAAGAAGTAGTATCCCCCCTTCAATGTGTTTCATTTCCTTATTTAAGTTTTCTAATTTACTAGTCTAACTTAGCCCGATTAATTCAAAATTTTATCAAGCCTACTTTGACAAAATGCGTTGAAATGATGTGAAATCCAAGTATCTATTCAGATGTGCTGGGTTCCTACAAACCCTAGTATCTAAGCCTCCATCTTCTCTCCATATCAATTAACGCCTAACATACATATAACAGGAATGATTCAACGCACATTGCAGATATTTGAAAAGTCTTACTACCATTTAAATAAAAGAATGAAGAACTATTGAACTACATTACGGTGAAGTGTGAAACTCATTTGATTGCCCTGATAATGAATATGAGCAATAAATTCTGCTCAAAACTTCATCCAGTAAATAATACTGTATCACTTGCTGTGTGCTAGCTTTATCAAAAAAAACAATCTAATATGGAATAATACTCTACTAAGCTGCCCATGTTTTACTCTTACACTGGGAGGTTTGGAATGCATTGACCACCACCTGCAACTCGTCCAGAAATACCACCAGCAACCGCAGGACCATCAGTGAACACAAGCCCTCCGACAAAAGCACAAGTCCTGAACGCCATGAAGATAGTGAAATCCGGGAAAGCAGCAAGACTAGATGGAATTCCACCACAAGCACTGAAAACAGACGTAGAGACAACAGCGGATATGCTCACACCACGATTGCAGAAGTTTGCAAGAAAGGAAAGGTACCTACCCATTGATTGGAAGAAAGACTATCTTGTCGAACTTCAAAAGAAGGGATACCTAAGTCTCTGCGAGAAATAGTTCAGAATCATGCTCCTGTCCACCCCAAGCAAAATAATAAGCCGCATCATCCTGGAGAGACTAAAAGATGCTCTGCATTCAGAATTATGACCGGAACAGGCTGGCTGGCTGGCTTAAGGAAAAACAAATCATGTGCTGATCAAATTGCAATGCTACGCTGCCCATCACCATAGAACAGAGCATAGAATGGCAGTCGACTCTACCTCAACTTCATCGATTTTGAAAAGGCTTTCGACAGCAACGACCGATAAGTAATTTTGTAGCTGTTTCAACACTAAGGTTTTAGTGCCACATACGCTGCTACATGCCAAGTGATTCACAATGGAGAACTCAGTGACGCTTTTAAGTGAAGACAGAAGGAGTAAGACAAGGTTGCCGCCTACTAACACCGATCATCTTTCTGACTATCCTCGACTGGACTGAACTGGATCATGCAAAAACAGTGAAGAGAAACAAGAGGGGCATATGCTGGCTGGATCGACGAAAAGACCACACAAAAAAATTCGTCGAAGACGATTTATGTCTAGTGCCTTGTTGCACAAACTCAAAGATCAACAGGCAAAAACCAACAAGTTGACAGAAGAGGCAGGGCATCGAAGACAGAACTTCCTTCAGGCGAAGGTAGAGAAGACAGAGGTGATAAAGATACCCAACCAACAACAACAACAACAGGTATCAATCACTATAAACGCGAGAAACCTGAAGATGTAGTCTCTTTCATCTACCCCCTAGGCAGCATCGTTTCAACTGCAGGTGGCAGCACAAGTGGAGATGTCAAAGCCAGGATCAGAAAATTAAGACAAGCCTTCCCTTATTAATCTGAAATCAGTGTGAGATTTACTACACTGCATCCAGCATAAAGCGTGAACAAGATCCCGAATTTCGGCATTAATGTCAGTCAAGTCAGTGCTTCTGTTTGATAGTTGAGAGACTTGGCGCGTCACAAGAAGCACTTCCAACAAATTACAGATATTCATCAACAGCTGCCACTTACGCTCACTCGATACTGAAGATCAGATGGCCAGAATAACAAGAATAAGCAATAAGGAACTCTGGCTGGCAAGAACCAATCAAGAACCCATCACTCAACAAATATGCACAAGAAAGTGGAGATGGATGGGATTGGATTGTACATACAGTGAGAAGACCATTTGAGGACATCACGTGACAGACCAGGCCATCGAATGGAGCCCAAACTGGAAGAGACGAGTTGGGTATTGGAGGGTGACATGAGGGAGAAGGTGTGAGGAAGAGATGAAAGCTTCTGAGAGGTCGTGGAGCCAGGTTGACAAGACTGCAGAGAACAGATTGCAACGGAGACGTGCTACTGAACCCGTATGTCCACTAGGAACCCAAGCGAAAAATAATAAATAACAATAGTATTAACGCCTTGAACTATCCAGATAGATATAACGAGAATGTAAGGAAGTAAATGGGCAATGATAGTTATTAAAAAAGACAAGTCCCCAAACAAGAAATACAAAAGCACAGTAAGCAAGTGCAGACAAGGTATTTTATGCTGGGGTATGACAAACGTTCAGTGCATTAAGGTTTGATATGCATTTCTGTTTTGAAGTCACATGTGCCCACTATCTGGTTTCATTTCGTGGTGAAAACCACCTATGGTTCCCAAAGAAAGTTCATGAATATTCCTGAAAATGTAACTTCGGCAGACATGAAAGATTGAATGCATCTGCCACACTGCAACCGATTTTCAGCTATTTCACTACGAGTCCCAGCCATTCATCCTTGTCGTCTTGCGTAGCCCAGCCAGGCCATCTTAACCTCCATACGCGGCTCTAACAAACAGCTGAAGATTTCATCGACTGATGCCATGTCTTAGTCTGGTCACGCTGAACTCTCTTACAACCTAATCCAAATTCCTGTAGCATGACACATCAAGGTAGGCGGTGACTCAGTATCCACGCTACACATTCAAACCATCTCAGGTTCACAACCTCATCAACCGGATTTCTTTCCTTGTCAAGTACCCTTCGCCTGACCTCGATATTGCATACGTAACGATTTTAGTATACGCCAGCTATTCCTCGAAAAAACCAATAGTCAAAAAACTACAACCACTTCATATCTTTTACTTTTAAAGGCCCCATCTCATAACCATATATGCTGAAGATCCCACCTGCGATTAAAACAACTTTTGAACATAAAAATCTTGAAGATTCGATGGTGGGGAGTTCTTAGAAACGAACACTGTCGGTGAATTCAAAACAAAGAAGTTCATGAAATAATCTTTGACTTTTATTGGTTATTATTATTATTATTTATCCCTTGGGTTCCTAATGGAATATAGGGCTTCACTAGCACGTCTCCATTCCACTCTCTTCCCTGCAATCTTTTCAACGTGACTTCACGACAGCCCAGAACCTCTCATTCCCTCCTCGACGGCCTGATGCGTGATATCCCCAGTCGGCTTTCTCAGTGTATGCCCAATCCATCTCCACTTCCTTCTGCATATTTGTTGAGCGATAGGTTCCTGGTTGATTCACTGCCAGCCACAGTTCCTTGTTGCTGATTTTTTCTGGCCATCTGAGCTTCAGTATCGAGCGTAAGTGGCAGTTGTTGATGAATGTCTGTAGTTTATTGGAAATCCCTTTCGTAACGCATCGTCTCTGAACGATACAAGAGCATTGACTTGACGTTGGTGTTGAAAATCCGGATGTTGTTCTTCATACTGAGTGCAGATCTTCACACTGGTTTCAGGCTAATGAACGCCTGTCTTGCTTTTCCGATTCTGACTTCGACATCCTCGTCTGTGCCGCCACCTGTAGTTGAAACAGTGCTGCCTAGATAGGTGAAGGAGGCTACTTCCTTCAAGTTTCTCCCGTTGATAGTGATTGGAGTTTGTTGTTGTTGTTGGTGTTGTTGGTTGGGTATCTTCATCAACTTTGTCTTCTCTATATTCACTTGGTTGATAAGTTGATAATTCAACTAAATTAAGTAATGTAACTCAGAACCCCAGTAT